AAGAATGCAACCGTCTGAATGCTTCCAAGGTACAAATAGTAATAATAGTCGAAGCAGAATTGGATACCATGGCCCGATGTTTCAGTGGATATACTGTGGTGATTGAATCAATTGGTCCCAGGTTCGACTCTTATTGGGGACAACATCAGTCAATTGGAGATAGGTACATCCAACTGACGAGTCCCATACAGGAGGAAACGCGTGTATTGGATTCCACTGCTAACCATAACTTAGTCACGTGGGACAATAAATATTCATTTCGCATCGACGGGTCTGTATGAGAGCTCACTTGTCAGCAGGGGTCGATTACTTCGGTCCAGCATAACATTGAAGAACTTTGAAGGTCTTAGGTTGAACCCCTTGATGAGGTCGTTGGTCTACACCACTGAGGAATCCCGTGTTAAGTGCATGGGATCCAAGCTTCGACTACTTCTCCATCTGTCAACACCTTTGTACTCAGATAGCTTTATTAAATTCAACTACAAAGAAGTAAACCGAGTCTAAAGTTAGTTTATGAGATCATGGTGTTTTAAGCGGATGGGTAGAACTCGAAGATACGACAATGACGAAGGAGCACCTCTGAGATACATAAAATGAACTGATAATTGTTTAAGTGAATTTTGAGGGAGTTGTGAGGATTTGGATTTGTTATTCATCGTTGACTGACAGCTGTTTTGTCCCTAGTATGGGACTCCTCAACAGTACGCACCCACGACCCTGCCACGGATTGAAGCCATGGCCTTCAGGTTCCGTGGTTAGAACGTTGCATTATATCGTGAGCTAACAGAAGTTGGAAATATGGACCACTGGATACTAGCACGACGGCTCAATGGTAATATGGCCGAGGAATTTGAAGGTCGCGGGTTCGATCCTTGCGTGGTCATGGGTGCGCACTGCTGGGGAGTTCTATACTAGGGCGAGACAGCTGGCTGTCCAGTGCTCCCAGGTTTCTTCTATTCCTCCAGCTGATGTCAGTCTACGATGAATAACAATTTGGAATTGTTTAAGTGACAAAAATTCAGTTCTGTTCTAAAACTCGTATGTATGTAGAGCGTAAGGTTTACTCAACCTCAGCATCAAAGTATAAATTCTACCTAGTTGATTGTCATATACATTTTCGAATCAAGATTTTGACATCAATTACGTGAATTCTATTTGCTGATTTATAACCTTCCCCCCGGGTCGCGTGCACCCAACTTATTTCTAGCCACCTTAATTTTATCTATAAACTTCAACAAAACGATTTGGTAGGAGTATCGTTATGTAACCTGTGCGTAATAGAAGCCCGAACTCTGTGTTCACAAGAAGGACATCCGTCTATCCTTTATCATGGTCTGAATACTCATGTACCGTTTCATAATTGCTTCTTGTCTTATAAATGTGGTTAATATTATTATTATTTGTCACATGGGTTCCTAGTGGAACATACAGCTTCAGTAGCACATCTCCAATGCACTCTCTTCTATGCAGTCTTTTCAACCTGCGTCCACGACAGCCCACAAGCTTTCATTTCTTCCTCACACCATCTCTTCCATGCAAACCTCGCACGCTCAACTAGTAATTTCCCACCTGGATTCCACTCAAGTGCCTGAACTGGCCTAGTACGTGATGTCCCCAATCAGCCTTCTCAGTGTATATCCAATACATCCCCATCTCCACTTCCACTTTCCCCTTCGCCATATTTGTTGAGTGATAGGTTCTTGCTTCGTTGGTTCGTCAACAGCCAGACAGACAGAGTTCCACGTTGCTTATTCTTATTATTCTCGCCATCTCATCTCATCTCATCTCATCTTCAGTATCGAGTGAGCGAGCGTAGGTGCTAGCTGTTGATGAATATGTGTAGTTTGTTGGAAACGCCTTTCATAATACGCCAACTGCCAACTGTCTCAACCATCACATAGAAGCACTTACTCACTTGACTGACTGACATTGGTGTTGAAAATCCGAATGTTGTTCTTGTTTTATGCTGAGTTGAGTGTAGAAGATCTCCACACTGGCTTCAGGTTAATGAAGGAAGGCGTGTCTTGTTGTATTTCCGATCCTGTTGGATTTGACATCCTTGTCTGTGGTGTCGACGCCTGTAGTTTAAACGATGCCGCCCTACCTAGGTGAAGGAGGCTACTTCCTTTAAGTTTCTCTCATTGATGTTGATTGGAGCTTGTTGTTGATTTCACAGGACTTTTAAATGAAATCATGAGAGAGAAGGTTTTCTTAACTGAATCATCTTCTGTCTTCTCTATTCTAAGCCTATTTAAGTTGGTCAGTATGCAACTTATAACTGACTGTAGATTTGGCGCGTTGGCGACGTTTGTAATTCTCACAGAACATGAAGTAGAAAAAATGTTCAAACTTATCAGTTAAACATGGTAATGATGGATGGTAACTCGTGGTGCAATCTAAGATTCATTTTCCGTCCTATTGTGGACTCGCGATGAAATGATGTTACTTACGGACTCCAACTCAGGGACCATCGCTTTATGCACCAATATATTGTAGACACTCTTTATATGGTGGGTATAGTTCTGATATCATAGCTTGTATAAGTTCTCATTGTTTGATTTGATCAAATCAACCAGTCAGTAGTGGGATATAAGCTCCTATGCAAATGTCTTGACACTACCAGTTGGATAACAGTAGAATCAAGGACTTGCACGAACCTATATACCTATAGTGACCGATCAATTCGGTCCAATCAAAAGACGGGAACTCACAAACAACATTTAATCAACACAATGAAATATTAAGTCTGAAAGAATGCCACTTCAACATGATCTTCATTTCTGTTTCATCATTTCATTGGTCAGTTCACAAGTTAAACTTGTTAGTTAGTTAAATGTATAGTTGTCTTTATGAAACTTGTACTAGGAAAATGTAGAGTCATACTTCTATTTGTTTAATTACGGTCATTGTGGGTATGGTGGATTCAAAATACCAATATGAAACAGTATTTCAGACGTGAAGACTAACTGTTTCTCACTTGATATGATTATATTAGTTGTAAGAAATATTTTTGAAGTTGTTATTCATCGTAGACTTACATCAGTTGGAGGAACAAAGGAAACCTGGGAGCACTGGACAGCCAGCTGTTTCGTCTGACTAGTATGCGACTCCTCAGCAGTGCGCAACCACGACCCCATCCTCCCCCGATCGAACCCGCGACCTTCAGGCTCTGTGGCTTGCACTTTACCATTAAGCCACTAGGTCAGAATTCAATCGTCTATATTTCCAACTTCTGTTAGCTCACGATATAGCGCAACCGCCACCCAATGTCATAGCTGAGTAACTGTCCTCAAGAACATCAGACTTTGCCCCCACCGGTAAGACTTCTCATTAGGACTTCGTGGATACCAGTTCAATTGAATTTTGAAGGAATGAATGGTTATGAGCAATAGGATCCAGTATCTAACCACTGCGATCATAAGTAACCATAGGCATTAAACTACAAGTTGAATATAACACTGAATTCTGCATACATTTTTTTGTTATTATCCTGTTGCTTGTATTACCCCCATCGTTGACTGGTTGATGCACCCTGCTGGTGAAACTTGCCTCACGGTTGAGTGGTATGATGGTGCAAGTTTCATTATCTCTGTGGACAACACCATGAGTATTATCCTAAGTATGAAGTGAGCTAACAGGAATTCTGTATAAGGGATTCAGAAGCCCATCCTTATGCAGTGATGTGTGGTTAGTAATTCCCGTTGATTGTTGTGACATTGACTGCATGGTTATAGATTATCGGTCACACACCGCCTTATCTAAACAGACTACTGCATCACTCATGTAGATATCTTGATACTTCACTTTTCCTTAACATCTCCAGGTTAACTAGTTCACTAGTTACTAGCCGGTCCTAAGCCCGGATAAAGAGGGAAGGTTGGGCATAGGCTAGCAACCCTACCCCAAAAAACCAATCCAGTCACTAAAGAAACTTCAAAGCACAAACAAAATATAGAAAATAAAAATAAACTTCTTCCTTTCTGAGATCGGGGTGACGAAATGACGCCGGTCGGTGAAAGCCTTCAGGAAGCCAATCGGCCGATACGTCTTCTCTTGATGAAAGCGAAAGCAAGGATGGCGTCATGGAATGTCTGCACAGTGTTTGAACCTACCAAGGCTTCCCAGATTGCAAAAGAGATGAGAAGGTGTGGTATAAGAGTGCTAGGGATCTGTGAAAGCAGATGAAATAGAAGTGGACTCTCCAAACTGTCAACTAGAGAGTCAATAACCTACTCCGATATTCTCACCCAGATGAGAACAGCTGACTGAGTTTTCGAGTGGCTATCATCATGATCCCGAAAGCATCGTAGACCCTCTCTCATGCAGTTGGAACCAATTTCCCCCTGCAGGATCATGACAGTAAGGTTCAACTCAAAAGGAAGCAAAGTCACAATCATACAATGCTACGCTACGCTACGCCATGCACCTACAAATAATTCAGATGAAGAGAAGAAGGAGGAATTCTACAGACAACTGCAATCAGTACTGGACAAGACCCCAAGCCACTTGGCCACATCAAAATTGTAATGGTTTGGTGGGGTGACATGAATGTGAAACTGGGAGGAGACAACATAGGAAGGGAACCAATCATGTGTCGAGAACCGTCAGAAAGAATAAGCAACAAGAAAATACTGGCAACGAACCAACCAAGAACCTATCACCCAACAAATATGCAATGGGAGGAAGTGGAAATGGATCGGGCATACACTGAGAAAACCATTCAGAGACATCACGCACCAGGTTATCGAGTGGAATCTAAAGGCGGAACGATGAGTTAGGCGTCCAAAGGTGATATGGAGGAGATGATGTGAGGAAGAAATGAAAACTTGTAGGCAGTCATGCAGGCAGGTTCAAAAGACTGCCGACAACATAGTGCAACAGAGGTGTGCTACTCAAGCCCCTTAAGAATACACCATATATCATTGATTATTATCTTCAAAATATGCATAGATAATTCTATAAAGAGTTAAAGAACGAGACAAGATTAGCTAGTAACTCACCATGAACATGAACAACAACAACACCAACAGAAACAACAGGTTCTTGAACGAGGATCTGAGATAATTTGACTTGCAGTATTCGAATTTACACTTCTTCGTGTTATCACTTCATTGGCTATAGTAATTTCACCTGTATTCTTATCTTCTGTTATTGTTTCACAATGTCCATCTGAATTAGTAGTTTTATTTATTTGTATTAATGATTTCTGACAAGAATTAGTTGATACTGTTGGTACTGATATTGTTCGTTGATTAACTGTATGCATACCACGATTTCCATTAGTTTTATAACTAGCTTCACTGATAGATGTTTTTAGATAGCCATGAAGTATTGAACTTCCAGGTATACTGTTACGTATAGTTGTCAATATAGGCTGTTGTTCTTTACTGAATACAGGATGAATACTGTAATTATTATTATTATTATCATTATTATTATTACTATTGGTGGTAATATTACAGGAGAGATGAGTATTTTTCAGATCAGGATATGTGAAATATGATTTAGAATTATGGTTAGTTGTAATACAACTAACTGGATAATGATTCGTTGTTACAATGCTTAAGTTCTCAGTATATAGAGTATGAGATAGATGTCTAGATGAATTACTGTCATTATTACTATAATTATTTTGAGTATAAACATGATTATCATTGGAAAGGATTCGATCAGAGAAAGAATCTTCATATTCATTTTTATACTTTGATATTTCACCAGTTGTATTTGGTCTAATCTCATATTTTGAACATGTTGATGAAGGTGATAATAATGATAATTTCTCTTCATTATCTTTACGACTTGAAGGAAGAATATTCAATTGATGTGTATAACTTGGTAATCGATTATGACAATAAAAACATACTTCTTTATCCTTTTTTACATCATGTAAACTAGAATATAACGATTCTGGAAATGTTTCCTTTATCTTATCACTGAAATGAATATTAAAAAAATGGAACATAATTAGCAATATTACGATAATAGGAAGTTATTCAGCAACGAATTTACCAACCAATTAACAACCTATCACCCAACAAATATACAAACGAAGAAAAGGTAGATGGATTGGATTGGATTGAACATGGATTGAGAAGACAATTTGAAGACATCATATGCTAGGCTAGGACAGGCCGTCAAGTGCAACACAAATGAGAAAGGATAAATTATGCGTCTGACAGTGACATGAAGGAGATAATGCGAGAAAGAAATGAAAAGTTATGGACAGTCTGCAGCCCGTTTGAGGAGACTGGAGAGAACAGAGTGTGGAATCGTCATGTGCTACTGAAGTGCAATGCTCCACTAGGAATCCAAAGGATAAGTAATAAATAATAATAATGTACTACATCATTGTTAACCTCGCCTGGTTAACTAGTTCACTAGTTACTGGCCGGTCCTAAGCCCGAGTAAACAGGGAACCTTGGGCATAGGGCTAGAAACCCTACCCCGTAAAACAAATCTAACCGTTAAACAAACTTCAAAGCACAAACAAAATATAAAAAATAATAACAAAATTATCCCTCGCTGGAATCAGAGAGGCGAAATGACGCCAGTTGGTGAAAACCTTCGGGAAGCCTATTGGCCGATGTGTCTTCTCCCGATGAAAGCGAAAGTAAATGTGGAGACATGGAATGTCCCCACCATGTTTCAACCCAGCAAGGCAGCCCAGATTGCAAACGAGATGAAGAGGTATCACATTGAAGTGCTTGGAATATGCGAAAGCAGATGGAATGGGAGTGGACTCTCCAAACTGTCAACTGGAGAATCAATAATCTACTCCGATATTGTCACCCAGACGACAACCACGAACTAGCACACTGAGTTTTGGAATGGCTATCATGATGTCCCCTTGAAGAGCATCGAAGGCTGTCTCTCATGCAGTGGGAACCAATCTCCTCCTCCAGGATCATGACAGCAAGATTCAACTCAAGAAGAAGGAAGGTCACAATCATACAACGCTACGCTACACTATGCACCTACAAATAATGCAGATGAAGAGAAGAAGGAGGAATTCCACAGACAACTGCAATCAACACTGGACAAGACACCACCTCAGTTGGCGATATCAAAATTCATTCAAATGGGCGACATGAATGCCAAACTGGGAGGGGACAACACAGGAAGAGAACTAACCATGGGTCGAGAAGCGCTCGGTGAGGTGATGAACGAGAATGGAGAATTGTTTGCAGAATTCTGTGCATTCAACGATTTGGTGATTGCAGTGAGGCAGTGTGTTCAAGCACAAGGATATCCACAAAGCTAGCGACATGGATTTCACCAGACACCTGGACACACTACACTAGAAATCGGATTGACTTCATCTCAATGTGAAGAGAGTGGAGACGCAGCCTACTTGACACAAGGTCAAGAAGAGGAGCAGATGTAGGTTCACACAATTCACTATCTAGTGCAAGAAACCTTCAAAATCAAGTTGAAAGCCTTCAAAGAAGCTGGTGATAGACCACAGTACAACACTCGGAAACTGGAGGATGAAACTACAAAGGAAATCTTCCCGTCAGCCATCAAGACAAAATGGGAGATATCGAGCAACATCCCTGAAGAAACCTGTGTGGAAGAACACTGGAAATCTTTGAAAGCTATGTGGAAAGAAACCTGCACAACCGTATTAGGAAGGAAGAAGAAAGAAGATAAGGAAGGGAGTGGATCTCGATGGATACATGGAAGCTGATAGAGGAGAGGAGAGGAGAGGAGGATGGTGGGGGAGAAGATAAACCAGTGCAAGGATGCACAATAAGAGGAGGAACTGAGTACAATGTATAAAACACTGGACAAAGAAGTGAAGAAGAGTGCACGGAAAGACAAAAGACACTCCTATGACACACTGGCAAGTGAGGTGGAACAGGCTGCAGATGAGAGAGACAGAGACCTGACAACATTGTATCAAATAACCACGTTACTATCTAGGAAGAGATCAATGCAGACGAAACCAATGAAAGATGATGACGCAAGTTTAATTACGAAAGAAGATAAACAAGGGAAACGATGGGCCGACCACTTCAAGAAGCTTTTGAATCGACACAACCACCACCTGCACTTCGTCCAGAAATACCACCTGCAGCGTAGCCGCTGAACCACAAGTGAACATAAACCCTCCAACAAAACTTGAAGTCCTGAACGCCATAAAGCTACTGAAATGTGAAAAAGCAGCAGGACCAGATGGAATACCGTCAGAAGCACTGGGAATAGACGCAGAGGCAACAGCGGACATGCTCACACCACACCGCTATTGCAGAAGGTGTGGAAGGAAGGGAAGGTACCTGCCTATTGATTGGAAGAAGGGTTACCTTGTCAAACTCCCGAAGAAGGGAGACCTCAGTGTTTGCAAGAACTGGCGCGGAATCACTCTCCTGTCCACCCAATGGAAGCAAAATATTAAGCCGCATCATCCTGGAGAGACTAAATGATGCTCTGGATTCAAAACTACGACCGGAACAGGCAGGCTGGCTGAATTCAGGAAGTGCAAATCATGTGCCGACCAAATTGCAACAGTTCGCATCATCATAGAACAGAGTATAGAATGGCAGTCAACTAGATCTCTACCTCAACTCTATCGACTTTGAGAAGGCCTTTGATAGCTTCGACCGAGAAGTCATTTGGAAACTGCTTCAATACTACGGAGTACCGCAAACCTTTATCCGCCTCATTCAACAACTATATGAAGATGCCACATGCCAAGTAATTCACAATGGAAAGCTCAGTGATGCTTTTGAAGTGAAGACAGGAGTGAAACAAGGTTGCCTACTATCCCCAATGGTATTCCTGATTGTGGTGGACTGGATCATGCAGCAAACAGTGGGGAGCGAGGTGACAGGGAAAGGCTGGCTGGACTGCGGAAAAGAACCTAGAAGACTTGGATTTCGCCAATGACTTGTGTTTGATGTTACACAAACTTGAAGATGTACAGGCGAAAACTAAAAAGCTGGCAGAAGAGGCAGAGAAGACAAGACTTCAAGTGAATATAGAGAAGACAGAGGTGATGAAGATAGCACACCAACAACTCTAACACCAACAACAACATCAAAATTCAATCACCATCAACAGGAGAAACTTAAAGGAAGTACCCTCTTTAACCAATCTAGGAGGCACTGTTTCAACTACAGCTGGCGGCACAGACGAAGATGTCAAGGCCAGAACCGGAAAAGCAAGACAGGCGTTCCTTAACCTGAAACCAGTGTGGAGACCTACTGCACTCAGTATGTGGAACAAGATTCGGATTTTCAACACCAACGTCAAGTCAGTGCTTCTGTATGGTTCAGAGACTTGGGGCGTTATGAAAGGGATTTCCAATAAACTAAAGACATTCATCAACAACTGCTTACGCTCGCTACTGAAGATCAGATAGAAGGCCAGAATTATAAGAATAAGCAACAAGGGACTCTGGGAACGAACCAACGAAGCAAGAACCTATCGCTCAACAAATATGCAGTGGAAGAAAGTGGAGATGGATTGGGCATAGACTGAGAAGGACGACTGGGGACATCACGCGTCAGGCCCTCGAGTGAAAACCCTATAGGAAGCGACGAGTTGGACGTCCGAAGGTGACAAGAAGGTGGTCGTGCGAGGAGGAAATGGGAGGTTATTGGCTGTCGTGGGGCCAGGTTCAAAACTTTGCAGAGAATAAAGTTCACTGGAGACATGCTACTCTAGCTCTATATTCCATTAGGAAACCAAAGGACTAATAATAATAAAATAAATACATCGTCGCTGAGTGAATTTCATTGACAAGATTCAGTGAGAAATAAGCTTCCCAAGAAAATACTTTTCGTAATTATGAACACTCATCACTAACTTGAGTCTCCATCCATCAGGAAAATGATACCACTCACCGATTCATATCATTCACACTCATAGCTCGACAACATGAAATTTTCTGCTGTCTAGTGATAAATCAGTCCAGACTGAGTAACCAAAATACCTATATCATTCCTATTCCTCAGAGCCGATTAAAGTGTAATGAACACTGTGATCAGGCGACAAACAAAACCAAAATCGAAAGTCGAACCAAAGGTAATCAAACAGGCAGAAAAAATTCCTATGACACTGTGTAGTAACCTCCATCACTTCAGTGTGTCAAAGAAACTAAACCAAGTAACCAACTACTGAAAACCTCCTTCAGCAACAGAGAATCTCTGTTGAAATATTCCATGACACAGTCAACAGGTATGAAGGTAACTACAACTATCACACCTTACGTTCCTAACAAATAACCTGAATGAAGATAGATGACCATCGACGATCTTGCATGATCACCAACCACACTGTGTGCTTAATCAATGGAAGTGGGAAAAGTGGAATCATGAAATTAGCTGAATGGTAAAATTCCTGACACTCCCAATATTCAATTCATCATCGGATCATTGGTGCTCACCGATTACAAATCAAAATATGGAGTGAAATGAAATGACAGGATTCCTGATTCCAGATTTTTAACATCTTTTAAACAGATATGGATCCCTGTTGAAAACTACTCGGAAAAGACTAGTCGACCTCCACTAACCAACTTCTCGATTATTGTGAAGTACTCAGTTACTCTGTAAAGCTCTACTCTACATTGAAGTGTCACATTTGTTGATGTGGAACTCCTTTCCACAAATTAATTTCATGATCTCACTTCTTTCATATTCAACCTCATTTACAAGAGGAAAGTGATCTCAGAATAATACAGAACACATTTCTACCCTGACCTTATGCTTTGATAACCTCGCCTAGTTAACTAGTTCACTAGTTACTAGCCGGTTGTAAGCCCGGATGAGGAGGCCAGTTTGAGCATAGGACTAGACACCCTACCCGGAAAATCAATCCACGATGTCATGATGTACTCAAGAACATCAAAGGTGCTCAGGCAATGGGAACCAATCTCCTTACAGGATCATGACGGCAAGATTAAACTCAAAAGGAAGCGAAGTCACAATCA